GTAGGTTTATTTAACACGCATTGTTGTAGATATATTTGGAGTAAGATTAAGGTGTCACTGTTGTTTGAGCTATAATCATCTCAGGTCATTCATTCTAATAAAAAATATGATCCCTATTGATAAATAGGTGCACAAGCCTTTTTTCTATTATAACTTGCATATCGATTATATCGATTATATCGATTATATCGATTATATTGATTATGTCGATTATATCGATTATGTCAATTATGTCGATTATATCGATTGCGTTTACACAATCAACAAGGGCAATATGTTTAAGATTTGGTCACAGGTAATTTCGTTCGAGACGAAGAAAATACTGTAAGAATTAATAAATGAAATAATAATGCAAGTTGCTTATCTAAAATGTCAAAATCTATTTTAAACACAATGAAAGGTAAAGTCCTTGTAATCGTCCTTGTCAAAATTTCTTGTGTAATTTTTTGAAGGAGGACCGCGCGTAGCATAAATCACGTCAAAGAGCATTTAATTCATTTAATTCATTTAATTTATACCGATTATTTTTATTTAAAATAAATGAGTGCATACTAGTACACATTACTGCAGAAGATTAAAATCCCATGATTGAAATGCGAGGTTTGACCTTTTGACATATCTTTTTTACCAAAGAGTAAATTTATTAATTTAAAAGACACAATATTGACATTATTGAAAACTTTAATGCATCATATATGCGTCGTTATATTTATATTGTTTTCAGAAAAGAAAAAAGAAAAAAAAAAAAAAGTTGACAATCTTTAAAAATATGAACAGTAAAAATAGTGTCTGTTACCTGTCCTCCAAAAATAGAAAGTAGTGTTACCTTTGGTAGGAATATAGGAATATAAGATAAAAAAAGTATATTACTATATACTATATTATATAATATTAGAGTCAGTAAATCGTTTCGCCGGAACTGTTTACTATTGTAAAAATTTTTTTTTTCTCGATAAACCTATTTTGATAACCTAGAGGCCAGGCTTGTCCATTCATTAGCTGTCAGATTTTATTAATATATCAATATATCATATATTAAAGCCACACAAACAATTAAAACAGGTTGGTTACATGGTCGCTCAAAAAAAAACAAAGGATGATTTACACATACAACTATATACAGTACATTAAAATTTTTATTTATACATTTAATAAAATATTCCCGACTTTATAAATTCTATTGTAATTTTATTTATACAATGTAAAGTAAAAAAAAGAGAATGCACTTATTTAAATTGGGACATCGCCTTTGTTCGAATTGATATAAATCCTAGCACTTCTGTCAACAGAGAATCTCACTACGAACTAAACGGTTTTAAAAAAACAAAACTTGTATTTAGTTTTAAATTTAATAATTTTCCTCGTGAGAGAAAATTTTTATTAATTTTCTCGCACATACGAAATATTGACCTTAATAATTGAACGAATTAAAAATTATATAAAAAGATAACGTTTACTCGTTTTCTCGTTTTTTTTCTCGCTTGCTATTACTGACAATTACAGTAGTAGTAAATATCTTGTAAAGTAGCATAATATTCAAAAAAAAAAAAAACCCTTTCAACAAAAATGCCGGCTCCAACAAAGCAAAGAACAAATAAAAATGCTAACATCGAAGCACGAGCATATGAAATCTTAGAATTTCCAGCTTCTCCAACCGAGACGACTACTCAACGACCATTGAAGACAACAACGACGTTTATCAACTGTAATCAGGAAAATGGAAAGATTTACTGGATTCCGGATGGTTATCGTCCTGTCCTAGTTAGGACTGCCGATCTTCATTTGCTGGTGGGAGAGAGTCCATTGTCTACACCTTCTTCTCCATCTTCTCCAACATATGATTCTGATGAATATTAAGCACTCT